TTTTCTGTGAAAATCGGAATTGACTTTAGAATTGAACCACCAGTGCCCCCTACATCCAAAACGAGTTTTGAACCAATTTTTTTTGATCGAACAAGCCTAATATCTAGTAATTCAATACTATCACTCTATGCACTGTAGCTAAAGAGATAACCAAACTTACCTAAAAATAATATTTTCTAGCTCAAATGGATATTCAATAATTCCGGTGGTTGGTACTCTCACTCTGAGAACATCTTGCTCAGTTGGCAAAAATGATGGCATGGCAATACGGTCTAAGTCTGATAGGTAACTGCAGAGCCAAACACATAGTTGTAAAGCAGAGGCAATCAGAAAGCATTACCATAATTGAACTTAATATGCTCTACGTTGAAACTATAATATTTTCACCAAAAAATTAATACACAAGTCTAATGAGAGAAAGTATAGCATTTAAAACAGAACCAGCAATGACCTAGGGAATCAAAATGTTCTGGGTATGGAGGTGACAATGCTTAGTTCTGATTTAATTGCCTTTCTACAAATTCATTTAATTCCAACCTCATCCTGTTCATGCCAGATTTTCAGATATCAAAAACTTGTGCAAATCTGTATGTCATTTCTGTAATCTATACATTTGCACTTTTAATTATAATATAATAATAACTTTATTTTTATAACCCAACACACCTGTCAGGGACTTGGGACGGCTTACGTGGGACCAAATGTTCATAAGACAATAAACAAACAATCCATCAAATAAAAATACAATTAAAATAAGAACATAATCAAATGGAGCATTTGTCCAGTTAAAAACAAAGTTAAATAGACAGAAAAGTATAAACCATTAGCATTAAAACTCCATCCTATCAATATTATTATACATACATTTTTGTACACATGTCCCTCTAAAACCGACATGCATATGTACATTCTTCCATTTTATGAATTTCATCCATTTCCAATATTGAAATATGCATATATTTTGTGAATATAAAACACAGTACAAGCACTGCAGATTTCTGAGACAAGGAGTCCTGGATATAAGGTCTTGCCTTGAAACTTGGAATATTGAAAAATGATCATTTCAACAAGAATTTTAAAAGAACCATCCCATGCCTAGACTTGGGCTTCATCCTTCTCCACCATAAGCAAAAAAAGAAAAACTTAATTATATGTGGCTGTTATAAAGATAACACAGTAATGTATATCAAGCTGTTTGAACACAAGAAGCATAATATAAATGCTTAACAATACTACTGCTGCCATTGTTTAATGTGTTTTATTTGAAATGGAATCCATTTTTATAAATCACATGTTTTCATCTGCTCCACTATTAAAAGTTTATACATAGTTACATTTCCCACATCATGTTGCCCCAATTTGTTGAAATAGTAAGTGCCAAACATTTTTGAGAGATCAAAATAAATGCTAAGTAAGTATATATTATTAAATTCTATAAAAATTAACATTAATGGGCAACAATGCTATTTCCACTTAGAGGACAGTACAGCCATGCAACAGAGATATCAGGCATTGAATGTTTGCCTTTTATGTTTGAAATCTGCCCTGAGTCCCTCTGGGGAAATAGGGTGGAATATACATTTATTATTATTATTATTATTATTATTATTATTATTATTATTATTATTATTTAACTAAGGCACACATCACCCTAGTCAAATCTCAACAGAAAGAGACAGATTGTCACTTTTTAAAGTTATGCATTGAACCATTGCCAATACTAGGCATCCAGGCTCAATTTGTTTTCAGAAGGCTTGAAACCCCAAACAGCATAATCTGGATCTATATTTCCACCCCTGCCTCTGGCTCACCAGAAGCACCTCTGTTTTATATACATTATGTTTCCACTTGTTCAACCAGTCTTCTAGGAATATAAAATACTGGTTTAGAATGAGAAGAACTTTGAGGGTTTTGATGGAAAAGAGAAATAGGAAAAAGATAATCGAGGGTCAACAATATATTGACAGCGCTCATATATTAGGAATAAAAATAAAAATAGCTGCTTAGAAATTCCATAACATGAAAATCAAAACCTGTTTAGAATTTTTATAAAAGCAAAACTGAAGTAGGCTCTTTCCCCTAGTGATAAAAAGACAAATGTAAATTCTGTGCAAAGCAAACACTCAAATGGATGACAATGAGATACAGGTGAAAACAATTGAGCAAGGAATCATTTCATAATAATTTGAAATATGGCAAAAGTGTCATACATACTATTTAGCTGAGTCTGACAACTGGTATTCTCTCCGCCTATCATAGCATTCTTGGATTCCGGGGTCCTCCCACAACCTTTTAATTGCTTCCACGTGTTTGCTTTCCAACATTGTTACTTTGTCTACATCCACTTTTTCAATCAGCTGGCCATCCTCCTGGGTCAAGGGAGGAGAAAGACAGTTTAGTTTAGTCAGCATGAATCTGCAAAATCAGACTGAACTAGATGCGCAACAAAAAGCAATAGCAGTGTCCAAATACCAGCTACTGCTACACCCGTCTACTTTTCTCATAGGTAGAAGAGTAATCTGACAATTACTAGAGACTGAGCAAATGGCTACATGGTCAAGTCAACATATGATCAAATCAATGGGAAACAGACAACTCTTCTGTTATTGTCGAAGGCTTTCATGACTGGAATCACTGAGTTGTTGTAGGTTTTTTGGGCTATATGGCCATGTTCTAGAAGCATTCTCTCCTTTCACCTGCATCTGTGGCAAGCATCCTCAGAGGTAGTTAGGTCCATAGATGCAGGTGAAACATCGGGAGAGCTTCTAGAACATGGCCATATAGCCTGAAAAACCTACAACAACCCAACTCTTCTGCTTTTTCTATATTGGTAATGCTACCATTTTATTCTCCTTCTTGAAGACAACAGAGTAACTACTTGGAATGATGCTGCTCCACACAGCTCGAGACAATTTCAATGGCAAACCTACAGCGGATGTAGACTCCCTTTTGACATTTGGGCTTAACAGAAGCTTTCTGGGGAGGAAAGCATATTGTTTCCCTCCTAAATTATAAATTTCCATTTTTGGGTTTGTTTTTTTTTTACAAACCAGACCAAGAGTAGCTCCTTATTTAACAAGTAAAGCTGACAAGAGATGTGCAAAAGTCACTACAGTCAACTGCAAGTAACTAGTTCCAGATGAGTGATCTAGGCTTTTAAGAAGACACAAATCCCAAGTAGAAATGGAACAATCCCCTTCCTCTTATTTATTTCCTAATTTGTTATGGGAAATTAATCTATTTCCCCTTTAAAACAAATATTTTATGTAATACAATCCATGCCTCCATAGGTGATATGTTCAGGGAATTCTCACAGATAAGTGAGACCACATATAACAGTATGTTTTTGCATTCAAAGTGCTGCAATACCTGCAGCAATATCTGCTCTCCTGCACCGGATATTATTTATGAAAGGGGGAGGGGATATCAGGCAGACACTTCTCACTCAACAGGGTAATGGACCTCTCTGACAGACCCCTTTACCCAAGCTGGTCTCTAAACCCCAACCCATAGGAATGGTGCAACTCAAGGAGCCCTTGTTCCCCCAGTTATTCCCTTGCTGGATTGGGTTACCGGGCTCAGGGTGACCCCTTAAATGTAGACCTGTGTCTGTGTTGTTATGCACGTTTAATTTTAATATGGGTGACCTAACTCCAATTCAGACTTGATAGAGACCCAGAAACAATTTCAAAACTACAATAAGAAACCCAAATACTTTTACTAAGTTTTATAGATGAGAAGATGGATACGAACAAAGAAGTATGCCTCAGTTACTTAATGACAGCAGCAAGAATAACTTACACCAAGATGTGGAGACAGAAGGAAATCCCCACAAAGGAACAATGGTTAATGAAGGTCATGGAAATAATGAATATGGATGAATTAACCCAACTTCTAAAGAGACATAATGGAAAACCAAGCAAAAAGACTGACTGGCATTTATTTCGGGATTACATGGAAGGAGAGAAGAGAACACTAATAATATAGCCAGCTCAACTATTAAAAGTCTACGCCGACAAAGGATATACCCAAGGAGGACAAAATAAGACTAAGGATTTTGGGAAATTATGGATTACCAGTATGGGAAGAGTTTGGAAGTACAATACTTTTTTCTCTCTTTTTCTTCTTCTTCTTTTCTTTCCTTTTTCTTCCTTTTCTTAGTCTATTCTCTCTTATTAATACTTTTTTTTAAAAAATGTTATTAGCACCGTTTTAATTCTCTTTTTGATGGTGTTTATTTGGAAATTTTAATAAAAATTATTTTTAAAAATCTACAATAAGAATATGAACACAGTAGAAAACTAATATCTTCCAATAACCTATTCTTTAAGCTCAAAACCATAGCTAGTTCTCCCGTCTTGCTCAAATCAAATCCCTTTCTGCTTCAGCTGCAACCTCTTTCTCTATCAACTCAATGCATGGTAAAGGCTCCACAGAGCACACTTTGAGAACCACTGGTTTAAAGGGTGAATGGATCAAGAACACATAGCAGTCACGAATCATAACTACAGGATATGTACAGCTGTCCCTCCACATGTGCAAAGCCATGCAGACTTTTGAGGATCTGATTATTCATGGAGTTGATTCGAAATGTTCTCTCTCGGACTCACTAGATCCTCCAGTGTGACTCTGTGGTCAACGTCCTACACGTCATTTACTGGGCCAAAAGTGCTGGCTAAGGAATCCAAGATCTGGGCTTTTGCACTTGTGCTGGGCTGGCTCTCTTGCTTTTTTCCTATTAATTAGAGTGTGAGCCTTGAGAACGAAGCCGTGAGTCACTGGGCAGCAGATGAAAGCATTCATTGCCATTGTTAAGCAACACCGTTCTATATTATCCACGTCAAATGGATTTCCGGTTAAAATTAAACCGGATTGACTGGCTATTACCTTTATTTCCAGGAAAGGTCTGTTTAATCAACCTGTAAGGCTTAAAGACACATCAGAGGAAGCTCAGACATGAGGAGGAAGGGCACTTAGATTTCTGTTCTTCAAATCCACAGCTCTGCTTCCTCATCTCAAAGTCACATTCAGTAAATCATGATTTCACTGCAGATTATACAAAACAACACATACACAAGCTTTCTTCATCCTTTCAAGTTTTCTAATGCTTTTGAATAACTGTAATAAGAACTTTTTGCCTTTTTTAAGAAAAAGGATGGCAACCTGTGGGCCTCCAAATGAGCATTGCCAATGGTGAAGGACAACTGCAGTCCAACATCGTCCACTTTAACGATGATACAAACTCAGTACTTCAGTATTGCTCCCATATTATATTACTAAGTTTAGTCACACAGTTCTGTAACTGTGATAAATTGGTAGTTTGTATGAGAGAAGATGCGAAACGTCTTGTCCTTCAGCTTGAAGCTTTCGGTTTAACAGACCTGATAAATGCTTTATACTGAACAAAACAAGAATAGGTCTTGGCATAAAGATCAGCTATGAATTCATATAATTCATGTAGTAGTAAACACCTATACATCTCCCCAGGAAAACATGTCAGAATTTTCTGTTTATAGTCACACACAGGTTGCCATAGCAACTAAGTACTGCCATTTTGTGTGTCTCTGTGCTTCGCTGAACATGTTGCTTCATAATTCATAGTAACTGAAATAGAATAGAAGGGTTGCTTGCATTACCACATTTCCAGCCCAAGTAGCAATTGTGGTCTACACCCATGAGGTACACCTGAACTGACCCTGTTTCCTAACCACAACAGAGGACATGACCATATAAGCATGTTAATGGATATACACTAAGGCATGCATGGGGAACTTGCTGATCATGAGCCACAGCCCTGGCCTATGGAGTCTTTCCATCTGTTTTGCTGTCTCTCAGAGAAATATTGCATTTGCCTAATTATTTTGTGTTTTAGGAGTTAATGAATATGGTACTGCAGGATTGCAGATTTGTACCTTTTCCTATATATTTTTAATGTTACTAGTTCTGTCCTTATTCTCCTTATTGTATCCTAAATGGTTGAAGCCACAATACAGTTTCCACCCTTGGGATACTTCCAGACTAGACTTAAATCCACTTCAGAGTGGGTTTAAGTTCCTACACCTCCCCAAAACTCCTGCATGGGTGTCCACATGCCATCCCAAAAACTTCCAGGATGGCATTGGGCCATCCACACACCCCCTCCCAAAAAGAAAAAATCCTGGTGAACTGATAAGGCACCTGAGGAGTGATTTGCCCCTCTCCCCACCTCCTGATGCACCATAGGTATGTTGTAGGAGGCCTCCAGAGAAGCCTGATGGTGAAGCAGTAAGTTTTATTTTTCTTTTAAGGCTTTTGGGGGGGGGGGGGTGAGAAGGAGGTGGGCGCCTTCATCAGTTTGCCGGGCTTTTTAAAACAGTTCAGGCCCAGACTACCTGGCTAACTGCATCGCCTCATATGAGCCTGCTCGGAAATGACGTTCATCAAGCGAAGCCTTCTTCTCAGTCCCACCCCCGTGTTGTGGGAACAAGAGAAAGGGCCTTCTCTGAAATTGCCCTCTGCCTCTGGAACTCCCTTCCAAAGAAGATCAGAATGGCCTCATCCTTTAGGAAGCAAATAAAAACTTTCCTATGTACTCAGGCATATGGAAATATGAATGTTTAAAGATCCAGCTTTATGAAATAAGGAATAGAATTTGGATATGGCATTTTTTGGTTAATATTGTGTAACTCTCCAGGAATCTCTAGGTCCGCAAGTGTGATTTGGTAGTCATCTTTCAGCAGAAGGTGATCATGAAGTTGTGTTGGAAGACCTAACAATTCCTAGAGAGGTGTTTTTCCTGTAAAAAAATAGCTATTTTTTGATTCATGGATTTTCACTATCATGGGAATCCAGTGCTCCAAACTCCAGTGAATGTGGAGGGTTGACTGTAGCGATCTCATCACGCATGGGAAGCAAACTGAAATTACAGCAGGACAACAGCATCTTTCTTTGGCCATTACTCCTTTCCTACTATTTTCTCAGTGGGAGACAGTTGGGACAGTGTTGTTTTTACAAAACAAAGTAAATAACAAATTATTGTGTTTGTAAAATAAATACTTTTTAAGCTGTTTCCTACCAGGAAGGCTGCAGAAAAGGGACGACATCATGTGATAAATGCAAGGCAAAGACACTGTTGTCCTGCAATAATTGCAATTTGGTTTCCATGCGTGATGGACTTCTTGTTCCTTGTTTGGTCCCAAATATTCCCACCACCACCCAGCAATCAAAATTCTGCCCAATCCTATCTGGTTTTGAAAGAAATTGATGTGTGGTCTCTTGGGATCTGGAATCCATGAAAATAGAGCAACTGTGGCTCCTAGGATGTAACTGCAATTTGGAGATCAAATTGCAATCACATCCAATCCTGTTTAAAGGTATGAGACCATGTAGG